ATCACTCTGCTACAGAGAATTGTTTTTATAGCAGTACTTTTGCTGTTTATCTCAGATGCAGATTTACCAGATATCAGAACAGAAAAAGTGGGAAGAAAACTGTCCTTGGCACAGCCTTGTGCAACCTGTGTGCCCCATGACACTGGAGGCAGTAGCTGTCACATGCCTGCCCCTACTGCTGTCTCCTCCTTATCAAAATAGGTGGAGGAAGCACAGACTTCTGGATACACACCAGAAAGTATTTGCAAACTCTTCCTGTCTATTAGGGAAAACAGTGGATTTTGAGAAGGCAATGAGGAAGGAATATTTGAATAGGGTATGAATATCCATTGCAAAGTACAAATGGTTCAAAGAACACCTCTGAAAGTTGGTGCCATGAAAACCCTTCTGCCACTGCCAGACATGCACTGTGACTTTCAAAGTTAGGATTTTCCTCCTTTTACATGATATCGATCAGCCCATTCTTATTTGGTGTTGCATTTTGTACTCCATCCTGCTGGATTTCCTCACCTGTGTTGGTGCTCTTGTTCTGGCCCTGTCTGCAGCTCCTTGGCTCCCATGAAGCCCAACACAGCATGCTTTGCTGTCTCTCCAGTTATCCTGACAACAAGCTCCACCAAAGCTGGCTGTGTTTAATACTGAATCCTGCAAGTACCTTTTATTGGGAGTTTACAGCACCCCTTGAGACAAACTTGCTTATGATATCTGTATCTAGGACCTGTGTCTCTCCCAAGCATGAATACCCTGATCTCTTGCTACGTCTAAATGCAGAAATCTTTTTCCCTCACAACCCAGCATCTCACATTTAGGGCTAAAAGTGACCTTGCCTGAGCTGATGGGCCTGGGAAACTCCATAAAGAGAAAGACCAAACTTTTCTGCAGTTCTGGCATGATTGCACAAATTCAGCTGGTTGCAATGCTTCAGCTCCTCATTTCCCAGGAATAAGGAAGAGGACTAATCAAATCAATCCAAACAGATAATCATGCAAGCAGATATTGCCTTTCAATCCTTTCTCATCTACTCTATCTAATCTTTGTATTCTTACTGACATAAAATAGACACCACACTCCTCCCAGGACTGTCAGAATGGAGGAAGCATTGGGGATAAAGGTGGGAGCAGCATTTGCAAGGATCCTCTCCTCCCTTAGAGGTATTACCTTGCATCATTAGGGACTGAGAATTGCTACTTTAAGATGAGCTGCAACAAATTCTATCTTGATTATTGCCTCATTTTGGTTCCAAACAATCAATATCAACATATGGCTTGAACACCAGTAAAGCAGAACACAAATCCATGGATGACTTCATCTGTTGCACAAATGCTAGTGAAATAGAAACAAAAAAGATTTAGTGATTGACATCTCTAGAGAACATGTGTATTTTAAAGTCACTGTTTTCCCAGTAGTATCTAAACTGCAAGAATAACAGTAAATTTGACTTAACAGGGGAGACAAAAGAGGCAGGTGACTACTCTGAATGTTGATTGATATATTTGCCCCCTTCTGGCTGCTGAAGGCTACCGTGCTGAATGATAGGAATTTTGAGGTCTTGGTAGTTGTTTTGCTCATTTCAGTCCATTACATCCTTGACTTATGTCTCAAATCTTAAGATTTGTAGAAAATATTCATTAGGCTTAAAGGTGTTTCAGTTCACTAGAGTCCTTGGCATAAGTACTGTGTCAGATGTCAAAGAAAAATTAAGAGAATAGTTTTGACTGTTCCATGAAACCCCGGAAAACAAGATAAGACAATACTCAAATGGAGGAGGAAAAGGGAAAATGCACAGCCTCTTTGTGGTGGTTACATGATAACTTATCAATAACAGCCTCCTATGTGTTCTTTGGTCCTTGACACAGTTTTTGCCCTGTGCTGTAAAATAATCCTGAAAGTAACTCAGCTATAATCTTAAATCAAAGAAGAACACTTGGGGGATGGGTAGGGGGACTAATGGTTCAACAAAAAAGAGTTCTATAAAAAAAAAAATCCTTAACTTACGTTAAGAATCAGCCTGCACATCTCCTTTGAGTCCAGAAACACTTTGTTTGGATCTGCAAAATTTTTTTTTTTACTTTTGCTTTTCTCTTTTTTGTTTTTTAATGCGAAAAGTACCAGTAACTTTTTATACAAAAAAAACTTCTTTATGTGGACAACCTTAAAAGATGGATCTGATAATTTGGACTCAGTAACAACCTTCCTAGGTCACAGAGTATTTTTAATTAACCTGATGTTCCAGTTATATTAATTACCCTTGTAGTTCAAGGTAAAGGCAATATTCACTGCTTCCCACCTCAATTTAAAAGCAGTGATGCTTTGCACATTACACCACAGTGCTTCTGTTATTCCCATGGCGCAGGAACATATTGAAAAGAGTTCTGCAAACATATGTTTAAACTGGGAAGTATTTTCAGATGAAAGACACTACGGAAGGGGAAAGTCCTCTCAGAAAAAGGAGAAAAACCCAAACCCTGAAATGAAGTATGAGTGAGCATTACCAAAAGTTCAGCTTTACCACTAAATGCAGCCTTTATAATTGCTTGCTGAATGAGAATGAGCAGGGCATCAGCACTCCATCCTATATAAAGGGTGATGTCTGTGCACACCATTTGCCTGTTATTTCTAAATGGAGAGTCTGAATGCAATTTGAGACCATCTGAGGCAAAAAGGAGAGTCAACGGCTCAGATGACAGTCTGGCTTCAGCTAGCTGGCCTGGGTGGGGTTCCACACTAGCAGGGAGCTGCCAAGCAGGATCACTGAGAGAGTAAACCACGTTGTGAAGTGAGTCTTACAGGCTTTCATAGGCCATGTAGTCTCTCATTAAATAACACACTGAATTGTCCCCAAGCCAGTCCTGGAGAGTTAGTGGCGTGGTAGCCAGCCAGCATCTTCTTATAAAGCTTCTGGCACAAACTAGTAATATTTGTAACAAATTCTATAGATGTGTTAACATATGGAATTTGGAAGCGCTTGCTTAGAGGTCTCAAAAGATGATGAACTTCAGTACAGTCACAAATTATGTCATGAAGATCTGTCCCAAAGAAAACATCATAAAGGCTCGTACTCAAGAAATAAACCAGAGAATTGTATGTTTGATACATACAATAGTGTATGCATAGTGTCTTTTTTTTTTTCCAGATAGTGGGATATCCATAAGCAGGTCATGAGTGTCTCTTATGTATATATAAAAAATACTTTTCCTCTGGATTGATGATAAAAGTTTGTGCTCACATGGCAAAATTCAAAGATTGTTGCTTAATAGCAATTTGTAATGTAAGTCACAGGATGGTGTTTTTCTACATATTTTCCATAATTGCATGGATAAAGAAGAAATTATGAAATGGCTGTTTTGAGACAAAAACCAGTCTTCCTGTCAGTAGACAGATGCCTTACTGGACTCTGTGGTGTCCTTAGTGGAGCTCAAAGGCTCTATACAGTGGTAAAATCCATGCTAGGTCATGCAGCTGCATTCTAGGGCCTCTAGCTTGAAAACTTCATTTGGCAAATTATTGTAGATATGACTGAATTTGGGGGCTGTTCCCCTAAAACATTTGTGACTGCCTATTTCTCAAAAAAGAAGAGAATTTTCCTGAAATTAAGATATGTTGTAAAGCATTCCCTAAGTTTCTTGGTATTGAAATTTCTTATGAGTAGGTAAGAAAATTACTCTCCTGGTGTTTGGAGGCCACCATGAACATTGGAGCCCAGCTTGTTGTGAAAGAGCTGGGATTTGAGCTTTTGACTTTGATTTGACTGGAGGACTGCTCAGTGTCCAGCCTCATTGCAGCTTGTAAGAAAAGGCTCCACTACCCCAAAGTCATGCTTTAGGAATTCCGTAGAAAATGTATCCAGGGCATCTCATGGTACCTTCTGAGGCAGTCGGAGAATTTCAGAAGGGCTTTTACAGATTTATACAAATCACTCAAGGCTCAAATAGAACACGTGGAAATGTGGTGGCATTTGATAACATATCTTAAGTATGCTGATTTATCCCACAGCAAAGGCAGGCAGTTCTTTTTGTCTATTAGTCAGTTATGGTTAATTATTGATATAATAGAACTTTATATGGCTTTTTATATCTTATGTAGTTGGGGTTTTTTGGGTATTTTTGGTTGGTTTGGTTTTTTTTTTTGGGGGGGTGGCGTTTGGTTTTTTCTGTTTTGGTCTTTTTTGCTTGTTTTTTCTTTTTCTTATTTTTCCCCCACTTGTAGAGGTCAGCAGATGCAATTATTTGTGTGGCTAATTCATGAGTCATTGTTTAAGAGATGAGGATGATGATTCACTTTGACAAAAGCTATTAATAGGTGCCCAGCACTATATTTTAAGGTCTTGGAAGAGTCAGTCTCCTTTCCTTTCACAAGGAAATATAATGTTGTAAGCCCTTTACTAGCTTAGCTGTTATGCCAGAAGCACATCATTCACAGGATTACCCTCTATGAACAAGTTAACATAAGAACTAAGAGAGAGTTTTAAATAAGAACTGACTTACACAACACATGCCGGAGGATACATGATCTCGTGATGGTGTCTGGGAACCATCTCCTCTCTCTTTTATTTTCTTTTCTTGTATAGCCTTTTTCCCCTCCCCCTGCATTGCACATGGGCTGTTCATAGTCTCAGGCTGTGGTAATGTCTTCTCAGAGTATGGACAAATGCAAGTGCCTCTTCTTGCACCTGAGGGTGGGCAAGGCTGCTTTTGGCTGCTTGTGTCAGGAGTTTCATCAGTGCTGCTGCTGATTCATTCTTTCTCCTTGTGGGATTTATTAATTTGGGATATGCTGTCAACTATGCTGGGATGAAGAAGAGATCAGTCTGGAATTCTCAGACGTTGAGCAAAGTCTTTGCTGGGCCCTGTAGGTCTACAATCTGGGCTCTTGTGTGCGGGGACTGGGTCCCATGCTGGAGTGAGTGTTTGTGACTGCAGCCCACTGAGAAGCTGCACAGACCTGCATAAAAACTTATGCAGGAGGGGCATCTGACATTGGCCTTTTACACCTCTGCTTTGTGAGGGTCAGGCCAACCTCAGTGTTAGCTCAGGTTCCTCAGAAGCTGTCCAGAAAAGTGCTGCAACCTCCCAAACCCAGAGCATTTCTGTGAAGCTGCCTGGGCAGAAGTGCACTCAGCAGCCAGCAGGACTGATCATTCCCCATGACATGGCACTGGGCAGAGGTCAATGGGAGCACTGAGTCCAGTTCTGTCTTTCCCAGCACAAGAAAGGTGTCAACCACACAGAATGAGCCCAAGGGAGGGGTCACCGGGGTGGTGGGGGGCTGGAGCGAGTGATCAGAAGGAGAAGCTGAGGCAGCTGGTTTATTTTAACCTGGAGAAGGAACCACTGAAGGGAGGTCTCCTGGCTGCCTGCAGCTACCTATTGGGAGCCTGTAGGGAAGATGAATCCAGATTCTTATGAGAGATTCACAGTGAAAGGGCAAAAGGCAAAGACACAGCTTGGAAGACAGGAAATTACAGTTAGCTATTAAGAATTTTTTTTTTTTCACTGGAAGAGCAGGAAAATGTGAAGCAGACTGGCTGGAGAAGTGCTGGAGTCTCCATCCTTGGAGATGCTCAGAACTCAAGAGAACAAGTCCAGAGTAAGGAGATTTAGTGCAGCAGATCTTGCAGGTATTGGATTAGATTAACTATTCCAGTTCTTTCTACGTAATTTTTTTTTGTATTTCTGTCATACACAGTAGATCAGCACTGTCTCAAAACCAGCCCTGCACTGCATAGGAAAAGGTGTTAGAGAGCATTGAATGAGTAGGAGAGGCGGAGCATTACAGTAGAGCTACCCAAAATTTCTTAATGAAAAATACTAAACTAGCAGAGAGATGGAACTCTAAAAGAAAAACACCCCAGAATAAAGATAAAGTATTTTAAAATGAACATTTTGTACAATTCTGTATAGAACTTGTTAGTCTCAGCTTATATTTCCTTTTTCTGCCCTTTTTAATTACTGAACAACCCCCAAATTTCTGCATAAAAAATGCTATGTGATGCAGGTGTAGAAATGTAGAAATGTGAAAATATTAAAATGACTATTCTTCTTTCATTTCTGCCCCTGGTTTAGGACCATTGTGATGTAATCTGATTTAGGACTGAGACATTGTCTAAGCCATCCTCTGAGGCTGATTTAGAATCTTTCAGCAAATGTTCTTCTCTCTGGTAAGTTTTTGTCAGAGATCTGCATGCAGTTTGCTAATTCTTTTCATGCCACAGTAAACTTTAGTGAAGTCAATAGTTACTCTGGCAGCAAAGTAGAAATGAAAGAGACTCTATTTTCAGAGCTCTAAAATAGTCACTGATCCATCCTTTGGAAAATACTGCTCTCAGGGGGGTCTGGTGAAGTGGTGTTGGGTTTCCAAATGGACAGAAAAACAGACAAGTGTATTCTTGAGCATTTCATGCTGACTTTCTGTGAGGTGACAAGGATGGCTTCCCTGGAGGGCTGGCTAGCTATAGGGGTGAGATTAAATAGATGACTTTACCCCTCCTAAATTACGTGCCAGAGATTGCTGCCTCTCCTGCGTCAGTGCCCACTCACTGGAACCTCTGCTGGCATTGAGTTCTGCCTAACGTGGTGGCAAGCCCTGCCACCAGGGTCCCCTGCCACTCCAAAGTACGGATTTAAAGGCAATCTTGAATACGGAAGGGAAGAAGGAAGAGAGTGTAATGCTGTGCTGTTTCAGCTGCTAATTGTGCCCAGATTAGTTAATTAGATAATTAACATAAGAATGCTCTCTTTTCATATTAGAGCATCATACATTTACAATAGAGCTGTTCATAAGTAGAGTGCTATGCTGTGGGAAACACTAATTAATTTTGCAAATTTGGACCTTTAATTGCTAAAGTGCTGTGCTTTCTCAATGTTTGTTTTAGAGTAATGTTAACTGATTACTGCCTGTTTGGAGAAGTATTTATTCTCTCTGCCAGTTGGACATATTCCTCTTGCTGTGTGACCAGAATCCCAGTTTATTTGCAATATTAACTGCACTGCACTTCAGAGGAGCCTGCAAGAGATGAGAGTGTCTATAAGCCCAGCTGACAGACCCAATAGCTGCAAAAGCAATGCAGCCCATCATTTCCAGTTAGGACACATCCCAGTCATATATCTCTGCAGCCTGCATACTTGATTATTGGAACATTCATCCTGGCTTCAAAGCAGAATCTGGAAAAACTTCAGCTGGCAGATACAACCACCTGCTTCCTTTGCAGCAGTTCTCAGAAAACATCAATCCATGTACCAGGCACTTTGCTGGCTCCCTAATGATCTCTGAGTCAATTTTCAGGACCTTGTGCCGAGTTCTCAGAAGCACTTATGTGAGCTGGGAAACATCAGCAATATCTGCAGGGTCTTGATGGTCTTCTCCTCAGACTCCAGCTCCTACCACCCCAAGAGGATTCGATCTATGGGCAACTTTGCAGCACCAGCACCATCCCCTTGGCTCAAGGATAATTCAACAGTTATTGAACCAGAAGGAAAGCAAGCCTCAATGGGATTCTCTTACCCAATAAGACTTGCATTTGCTTGGGTAAAGGGAGACATGGGTCTTCTTCATTCTCCAAGGCTTCTTTATGCAACACAAAATTTTGAGTTAGGAAATTGGAGCAGAGTTCTTCACTATCCCTTCCCCACCTAGCTAGGATCATCAGTTGTGGCCAGTTTTCTTCAGGTGTGTATGTGGGCACAGCATTCCCACTCTTGACTATCACAAGGAAACACAAAAATCTCGAAATTAGTAAAAGGTCTGTGTCTTCTCAGAAACACCTTGAGGTGAGATTTAAGACATTTAAATGTTAAGACATATTTTTTCTTCTGGCTGACATCTGCAGTAGAACTGTAGATGCTGGTCCAAAATGCTTACCATGCTGCACAGAGGGCTTAGCTGCCTAGCTCAGGGATATTGAGACTAATCTGAACAGAAGATGTCAATGTTCAGAACTTTCTGAATCTTTTGGTGAACGAGAGCTGACTCAACTGTGTAAGAGCCTTCCTGTGACTAATCACTGGCTGAAAAGTTTAAAGTTAGCCACTCATTCAGCAAAACTGAGTCAGCAAAACTCAGATACCAAAGTTGAATATAGGGATGAACTCTAAAGAAATGTTTTCAACCTTTTCCACTTGTTCAACTAATTTTTCCAGTAGCTTAACCACATAAAACAGGGGAAATAGAAAATAAAACAATAAAAACGTATGCTGAATAGATGCATGTGAAGATATTTTTAATATGAGCTTGATCATTTTGAGAAGTGAGTGCAAATATTTCCACTGTTATATTGTTGTACTTTGAACCTTAGCAGCACTTCTGGAAGAAGGGGTAACAAGAAGAAAATATGTCATTAACTGTGGGACAAAGGGTGTAAAAAAGGACCTTTAGTAGGGGAGGAGCTGTATGACAGTGGAAATTACATTATATATTTACTTGTTACTCATATTTTGCTTTGTGCCTAAACTGCTCCTGTTTTCATTGCAGACTTCAAGTTGCTGCAATCATTCATTGAGGCAACAGTACAAAGCTGCCAATTTGAAAACAAGACTTTGCTCAGTAGCAGAAGAAAATGAAAAATTCAAGGGTAAGTCTGAAGATTACAAGGACTTTGAAAATCCTACCAAAAGTTAGCTTTTAATTTAAGTAAGAAAATAAATTAAGGTACAGATTTTGCTGTCTGCCTGCTGAGTTAGTCCTATTGATTCCAGGTAGGCCACACATTATTAGGTACCATAACAGGTTTTAGATAATTACAGTATTCATCCCATGGGTAGTATACTTTTTAGGGTTTATGTCTTGAGTTTTATCCCCTAGATTGTTTCTAGTGCTAGCAATTTTTGCAAGCATAGAAAGACTGGATGAAATGTTTCAAAGAAGCATCTTCAATGCTTTTTTTGAGTGCAATTATTTGGTCTTATATTCCTTGTTCATCCAGGAAGTTCTAATTTCTTTCTAAGCCTTTATATTTCTGAACTCTACTGAGGGACAGGATATGGAACCCAAGTACTCATTTCATTATATTCTGAAGATATGTTTATCACTAATAATACAGTTTCTGAATGGCTGCTTTCTTCTGACTTTTCTTTTACTCACAGTATTTTTCCTGAAGGAAAGTCCTTCACGTATTCCAGCTCAGTGTTTACTGTGATGCCCAGTAATATTTTCCAGCGTTTGTAAGGATTTTGGTTTTCTGAAAACATCCTCCATAATCTTTGGAAGCTTATGCTGGTTGTGGTAAAGTCATCTTTACCCATGGAAGTCAGAAAGCAGCAATGTGCAGAAGAGAGCCCTTTTATTTGTATAGCAGTTCCAGCAGGCTGCAGATGGGGGAGGTTTCTGCAGCTGGGGGGAGTTTAGCTGAATTCCAGTGCTGCAACATCTGCAGCATTCACTGCCTGACCGCAGTAAGGCTTGAGCAGATATCTTCTCCCCCCTGCTTTCTGCCTCTGGTTCTTGCACGTACACACGTATGTGCACTCCCTGTTGAGACACAGCTCAGCTCTATACATGCAAAAGCACCAGTGTTGTCTCTCCTGAGATTATTCATTTCCTCATGTGCATAGGCCATTTCATGGAGCAAACGATGCTGCAAGGTGCCCTGTGTGTAGTAGGACACACTTTTTGTGTTTCTTATCAAGGCTGCCTGTGCGAGAGAAGCAGAGTCAAAGCTGCTGCTTCACCAAGGCTGTGTCTCACAGGAGAAACCTCTGCTCCTATTGATCTGCTGGGTTTGGATGTAAACTTTGTCCCCTCCACCATTTTAATACTGTTGATAACACTAGTGTGAACTCATTTTAAACTAACAGAAAAAACAAACAAACAAACAAACAAAAGGCTTTGCTGGTATAGCTTAACTTTTGGGGAGGAATAGGCAGAAGCACAGCTCTATCAACAGGAGCTGCATCACTACAGAGAGAGTTTCCCATCTGGGAAGAATGTTTTCCACTTCTCGGTGTCAGTGAAACTTGAGTGGGAGTCCTGAAATTACTGTGGGAGTATGGGGAAAGTTGTAGCCATGGAATTAATAAGGTGCTAAGATGGAAAGCATGTTCTAGCAAAGGATTGTCAAAAGTATTGATGACTGAAGGTGAAAATATAAGGCAACTCTGAGTTAATATTTTGGCAGAACATTTCTGTATAAGATGCAGGCTATTTATGGCAGCTTCTCAAGGAATTAGTGACCTTTGAAGTGCTGCTGAAGTGGCAGAAGCAGCAGAGTGACATTTGTTGTTTTCTGTAGTACTGATTTGGACATGCAATGTTGACTTTATCAAGACATTCTCTTTCAATATATTTTACTCAATCAGAAGACTGCCTGGCCAACTATATATGTGTGTGTAAATATGTATGTGTGTGTGTGTGTGTGTGAGTGTGTGTGTGTTTGTGTGTATGTGTGTGTGTATAAAACATGAAAAAGGAATACTTTGAGAAGTATTGTTTCCTAGCCAAATATTGAATATGTGTTAATTGTTAACTCTACTTTTTTAATTCCAGAAATTTTGTTGACTTGAGAGGGCTTTGGGTCAGATGGTGAGCCAATGGAGAGATGCCCACTTCGGTACAAACATGCTGATGGAAGAAGTTGCCATTCTCGGGTACTCATCACTGTCTGCAGTGGTGATTACTGTCACCAGCAATTTCCCCGTTAAAGTCACTTAAGCTATCTTAATTGATTTTTCCTGAAGTAAATTAGAGTGCTCTGACAGCATGTTCTGCCAGCCCTCTGATGAAGGCTGCAGCCTCCAGAAGGGAGGTGATTGAACTGGCACTTATGGATCTATAAGAGGAAAGAAAAGATGTTTTTTGTCTATGCCGTATCAGATAACAATTCACAAGAACTTTTCTTGGACTTTTAGATTTTTAAAAAAATTTGTTGTTATCTCTAGATTATAAACAACATAATGCACCATGCTCATTGTGTTTTTTTTTTTTTTAATGCTAGGTCCAGTTTTAGCTATGGCAAAAATTTTTTTAATAGTTGTCCTTTAGAAAATGATGTGATGTTGAAATCAAAATGTCCTTCAAGACAGTATTGATTTGAATGAAATCCGGCTTTGAAAAATGGCTTAAATAGAGTTGCTATAATGTGTTATGAATTTTCTGGAATAGAATAATATAATTTATCATTTTAATGTTACTTTTTGAAGTTTGATTTCATATTTGTGCTGAAATAAAACATTTTGATTAAGCAGACAAGGGTTGACCCCAAATGCCTTCTTTTGATTAAGAAGCCTTAAGTGACAAAATGCCTTTTTGCCGATTTGTTGTTGGACCAACATTACAAATTACAAAATTGCTATGAAGCTGTAAAAATGTATCAGAGTAGGCACAAGGTGTAGGTGACCTCTCCAGGAAATCCTGTGTTTCAAGTTTTAAGTCCCCAAAATGAGTGTGTTAAATTATCAGGATGGCTAGTTTGATAAAAATGCTTGTGTGGATAATACTGTTGGGCAAGCAGTTTTATACTGTGATGTCACTGAAAGGGTTTATTTCTGTCCTAGCTTTATTGAGTCCATCAGTTGAATAAGGCTCCATCCATTGGCTCTATCATGAATATGGGGGTGTACAAAAAAGTCAGAGAGGGACTTTTACTAGGGCATGCAGTGATAGGATGAGGGGTGGTAGCTTTGAATTAGCAGAGATCAGATTTAGATTAGATAGAAGAAAGAAAATTTTAACAATGAGGGTGATGAGGCACTGGAACAGGCTCCCCAGAGATGCCTCATTCCTGGAAGTGTTCAAGGCCAGGGTGGATAAGGCTTAGAGCAACCTGGTCTAGTGGAAGATGTTCATGCCTGTAGTGAGGTGTGGGAACTAGGACCAGCAAGGTTTTTAAAGTCCCTTCCAGCCCAAACCATTCTATGAAAATCCACTGATAAACCTCTCTATTTTTGCAAAGCCTGTGCCTGAAGAAGAATGGAAAGTTTGATTCTGGTTCCATTTGTTTGGGATAAAATATAAATTAATGCAGTTTTTGCTCACCTTTTAGCTGCATTCCCTTGTAACATATAAAGTGAAAGACAATAAAGCTCAGATGCAGTAAAGTTTCTTTACAAAGAGACTGAAAGTAAATCCCATATTATTCCAAGTTCTCCAAAGGCAAAAAATGCTGCTCTGAACATGTTGAACCCTTTTTTATTGTGAACTTCTCATGAAAGGGAAAGGAGTGTGGCACTGGACACCCTGCTGTGCAGAAGGACAACACAAATGACTACAACACTGAGAAGACAAATGAGCATACAGAAGGGTGCATTAGTAATTGTGACCTCTCATTATTAGGCACTGTCCTATTCAGTACCATAATTTTGGTGGTAATTACTACTAATTGTTTTAGTTTCTCCCTCCTGAGCTTTCTTAGAGTTCATACCATGAGGTCAGTTTTTCTTGGCTGCCTTCAAATATGATAAATGTAATTTATATTTTTATACTTGAGTCAGGACTTTGTAGAAATGCCTTCTTCCTCTTTGTGCAAGTCGAGAAAAGAGGCAGGAGAAAATGCTAGAGGCTTCACTGCTTTGCTTTGATCCTTCTCTCAGAATTATTAAAAGTGAAGCCTCTAAGTAAACAACTGTAAAAATTAAATCACTACATGGAGCTTATAGGAACTGCAGGGTCTGCTGTAGCAGCTGTCTGCCATTGTGGTGTTGCCTTCATCCCCAGGTTAAGGCAGAAGGAGAAGCAATTTCATCTGCAGAGTGCTGAGCCAGGCCAAATGATTTCCATCCTGTGTCTGAGTGCTGCAGAGCAGCTGCTGTGCAGGGCGCTGCTCCCATGTCACTTCCCCAGTCCTGACTGGCAGGGTGCTCCTGCTCTGCCCCCCTGGGCTGGGGCTGGGAGAAGGACATCCTCTTCCACCAGTCCTTGATCAGCAGCAACCTGCTGGGAATGAAGAGGGATCCTTCATTCCTAGGTGTCCTTCTGTCAAGGTGAAAGGCTTTCTGAAATGCATTTCCATCCAGACAAAAAAAGAAAAAACAAAACAAAACAAAACAAAAACCAACCAAAAAAAAAATTCTCTAGATTGCAACTACATGAATTAACTAAGATGAACAAAGCTGGCAAAGAGAGGCTTTATGGCCTTTAATTTAATAATTCAGCGGCAGGGGGTGGAGGTCAAAAGGGAGCTAGATGAAACTGCAGAAAACTTCTAAATCCTGCTGGTAAATTTTTCTTTAAAGGAAGTTTAGAAAAATAGTTTGGATTTTTCTTTGTGTTTCTCTATCTTCTCAGTTAAATTGGATGTTTCTATGACATTCTTTTTCACTACAAAGTAACTTTAATTAGCTCTCCTATGGTGTAAGTCTTTCCAGCTTAAAAAAATGCAGTTACATTAACTGTCCATGTTCTCAGGCTTGCAGCTGCCTGCACTTGTGAGGCAGTCATGGAAAAAGAAAAACACAAAATTGAGATGGGAGGAAGGTTTTGATTTGGACTCTTCCTGGTGGGAACAAATGTCATTAAACAAATGTTCAGTTTCCAAATTTGGAAAAATGACTGAGTATATTTTGCAGAGCTGCTTTAGAAGCAACTGATTAAGAGCATGGTATCTCACTAATATGTATTGCCTTTGAATTTTAGGAAAGG